TTTCTTTTTTTGTTTAAGAGACAAGGTTTGAGGAGATGGAAGTTAGAATGGTTCGGGTTAATATTTATAGAAAATTTCTACTATCATATCCAATTAACTTTATTAATATTTAAGGAGAATGTTACCATTCCAATACGGGATGGTTCCGTTACGTTTTCTAGCCACAGATATACATTTAATTTAGTGATGAGTAGTTAATCCAACGCTTAAAAACACAACGGAACCATCCCGTAACGGGATGGTAGCATTCTCCAATATTTAAAGCCTTCTCAGTTATATGTCATCATACTTATTTTTTAATCACTTTTATTGTACACTCATCTAAACAAATGAGTATTCTATTAATATAAAATTAAATTTAATTTTTTGCTATAATTACTCATTTGAAATTTACAAAACGAACCTTAATTTATCTTATAGAAAAATTAGTAAAATTTTGATTTTAATATATATTACCCCACATATATTTTACGAAATTATACTAAAAAAAACTAACCTAAGAAATAACTTTGTTATAGACATGGCCAAAGCGGGTCGTGCCCGGGCCGAGTCGGCTGGCCAACGGGTTGGGTTCCGTGGACCTTGAACCGGCACGGACCTATACCGTGCTGAGTTCATGAAAGCAAAAGGATGTGATTTTCCTTGGTTGGCCCGGACTTGGCCCGGCCGAGCCAGGGTAAAAAAAAGAAGACCTTGGACTGGCTCGGTTAAAATCCGAGTCGGGCACGGACCCTGGTCAACATGCTTGACCGGGCCAGGTCCGTGCAGGACCGGCGACCAGGTGGCCCCTGGCCACCTCTATTTTCTTATAGTGTGAGTCTTGATATATATAAGAGTGGTTCAAATTAGAATCAAGTCTTTGCATATATTTTTTTTTTTTAAAACATCAAATATATAATAGTGCTTATAAAAATGAAAGAATTTTGACTTTTACAAAACTGTCATGGCGAATTTAACCTCAATTAACCCGATTTCTATGCAATCCGATATTTTTTATAAATAATTGATGTGTTGCAATTAGGAAAAGATATATGTGATAGTATTTTGCCTAATTCGAAATTCTGAATTTTATAGTAATCAAACCGATCTTTTTTTTTCTTTCTTTTTTTTTTTGTTTTGTAAATATAGCTTATGAAAATGTTGGCTAATAATTTTTATAATTAAAAATAATTTAACAAAAGGATCAACAATATAAAAAGAAAGAAACTACACATATAAAAAAAATAATAATAATAAAAAATCAAAAATAAAAAATCAAAAGTTTCAATCAAGACTTGTTGCATGTAAGAAATTAAAATAATAATATTAAATGAAGATGAGGTGCTCCTTGTCCAGCTAGCACATTAATTAAAAGCTCCTCGGACAGAGACATACATAATGCATGTCTTCTCCGACAAGTCATAACCTCGTCCGAGTTGAGGATATAAAACTTGCTGCAGCTTCCCTATTGACTACTGCTTTATGCTATAAATAGAAAAGTCATAATTAATTAATTTTGGTAATGTGTATATATGGAATTGTATCAGTATGGCTTTCAAGTCTTGTGTTCTTTCAACCGCTTATTCTTATTCCATTTCGAGTAGGCCTGCCTGCAGATAAAGTGTGCTTTCTTTTCTTTGACTCCATATCTTAATAAATAATCTTCTTCAATTCCATGCACTGAGTCTCCCTTCTTTCTCTTATCATCAGACGTTCCAAGCAAAAAGCAGTAATAACAGTTGTATTTCTTAAATTATTATTTGGCATTTCCCCATATAATATTGTAAGACTATATTACATGATATAGGGAAATGGTACGGAACCATTCCGTCGGAATTTGTTACCGTTAGATCATCATATAACCGTCAGAGATAGTTGATCTAATGGTTATAA